TGTGGCTGCCCTGTGATTGTCCGAATGCTGCCAAAAGAAAAATGGGGGAAATTTGGTAGCTTTAAGTGGGTTTTGTTTAAATTAAGTGGAAATTAACTTGAGTAATTGTTGTGAAATTGTCTAGAGAAAATCCCGTTTGTTAGCCACTAGATTGCCCAAAACCGGTTCTTCCATTTTGCTGTCTGTGGGATTAGGGAGCTATGTGTGTGTGTGTATATATATATATATAATTCGGTTGCAGTGTTAAATTTTGGAGAAAAAAATATAAATAATAAATATGGCATTTTGGAGTTTTTTCCAGCAACAATATTGAAAAGGATTAAATAGGTAATTTTTATATGGTTATTAATTTTGGAATATTTTGGTTAGATTTCTGATTATTCTATCACCTTATTCTTGGAGTGAGTTTTCTGCTTTATATGATTGATGTAAGTAAATTTATGGTAATGTTTCTACAGTTTTTAAAAACACGTTTTGATTTGTTTTCGATGTGGTTATGTTATTAATAATCCTGCTAGTGGGGGCTAAACGCTAACACATGTCAACATGTTATTGATAGAACTAGTTCATTTGAGTGACCCTGCTAGTGGGGGTTATGCACCAGCAAATAGTGTAGCCTGCCAGTGGGAGGTTTAAAACACTGGCCATGACCTATAGAGGAAACATCTATTTCGTTCCCGTACTGTATCTGTTTTTCGTGATTGCACTTGTTAGCATGCTATAAGTTTAATAAGGGCACTTCATATTTTACTTATTGAGTTATCTTATAGTTTTTCTTGTCCACCATTTCAGGTAGTGAGACTCGACGCATGGGGAGTCCGGGGGAGTGACGAGCTAGACAGCTAGGCACTTTTGGACTTGGATTTTTGTAGCTAGGCCGTTAGTTACCATGCTTGACTTAGAAATTTTGTGTACATAACTTCCTTAATTTTAGTCATGATCGTATATATGAAGTGACAAATTTTTTACATATTGATTAGTAAATATTTGATAAATAAAAAGGTTTAGATCTGAATTGTCTAAATTGCTAAGTAAGAACTCAATAGGTTCCGAGTCTTGTGCATTTATTGGCCCCGCTCATGAGTGCACGGCGTCTGTCTCGTTTCGGGGTTTGGGGCATGACAGATTTTGTGGTATCAATGCCTAAGTTTAAATTAAGAGCCTAAGGCTAGTTTAGAATTTGACTAGCAAATTAGTTAGAGGAACGTGGTGAGGCATTAGAGTAGGGTTGATTAAAGGCGCTTGTTTGATTTTTCTTAATGTGTGGGATTTTATTTATTTATTTTATTGTGTTGCTTGGTCATGGAAGTGGAAACTTGCCAGGAAATTTCTTGTTGAAGCATTTGATTAATAGCCTATAAACCTTCTATGTGGTTATAGATGGCTCCGAAATGGCGTGGGCGCCCGAGGGGTAGCCGTAAAGATCAGGGCACTCCTCCGATCCCAGTTGCTGGTACCCCTACCCAAGTTGCTCTGCAGGAGGGAAGGACAAGCAATCCTCAATTGGCCACCTTTGTTCAGGAACTCTTGGCAGAGATAAGACGCCAAGTATCTCCTGTCACAAGTGTGCCACCTCCATCCCCGGTGGTCCCCACTCCTATGGCTCCTGCTCCAATTTCCCTTGTTCCTATCTCTTCTGCTCCTGCTGTGCCTAGTTGGAACGTCTATACAGAATTCCAGGAGGTGGTGACCAAGAAATTTGATGGTACTGTAGGTTTTGAGCAGGTGGGATTGTGGATCACCGAGGTGGAGCGGGGATTCCACTTGCTGCAGGTTTCTGATGACCTTAAGGTCAACGTAGGCAGTTACATGCTTACTGGGAAAGCATTAACTTGGTGGGAGAGTTATCTGAAGCTACACCAAGGAGAGCCTGAATTGAGCACTTGGGATGGTTTTAAGAAGGTGTTCATGCAAGAGTACATACTGGATAGCAGAAGGCGAGAACTGCAAAGGGAATTTGCAGATTTAAAGCAAGGGTCAGGTACTGTTGAGCAGTACAAGGAGGAGTTTGACCGCTATCTGCCTTTTGTGGGTAGCCAAGTTGGCGATGAGCAAGCCAAGGCCAACAAATTTCTGTGGGGCTTGAATTCCGATATTTATTTGGCTATAAACCAATTTAAACCCGCCACTTATCGAGAGGCAGCGGACAGAGCTATAAATCAGGAGAAGGCTATGGCTAGGATCAAGTCCTCAGGACAGCACAGTGTTGGGTCATCCCTGGGGAAGAGAAAATTCGATGGGAGCCATAGGCCCTTTGTCCCTGCATTGCCTAAGCCTGATATCAGTAAGGGTTCTAAAAGGCCAGGAGCTACCAAGATTGGGGGCCAAGCATCCATGGCTCAACATGCTTGCTCTACTCCACCTACTTGCTACTTTTGTGGGAAGATTGGGCACGCCTATGATCAGTGCCACTTTGTTACTGGAGCTTGCTTCAAATGTGGCAAGCAAGGACATCAGATTGCTAATTGTCCGCTGCTAGACCCCAAAACTTAAAGTACTCAATCTACATCTCAGCAGGGGTTTACCCATCAGGGGGCACCGAAACAGAATGTCAGGGTTAGGACAAGAGCCCAGCAGGCAAGAGTTCACGTGATGACTCATTAGGAAGTTGTGTCTACCAACGTAATCACGGGTACTTTACCTGTCAACTCTGATTTTGCACATGTTTTATTTGATTCGGGTGCATCGCACTTCTTTATTACTCGATCTTATGCTTTGAAATGAGTTTTGCCTGTTGATACCTCTGATTGTTAACTGCATGTGGACACCCTTTAGGAGGGGTGATGACTACTAGAGATGTGTATGACTGTGGATATTTATATTGATGGTAGACAGTTGGGTGCTAGCCTGTTTGTCTTGGATATTTCTGATTTTGATATCATTTTGGGGATTGATTGGTTGTCAAAACACTTTGCCTCTATAGACTGCCATCGAAAATGGACAATTTTTAATATTCCTGGTGAACTAGAATTTAGTTTCCAAGGCAGTGGTTCTTTTACTCCACCCATGCTAATATCTGCTTTATAGGCCCAGAAATATCTTGTAAATGGTTGCCAGAGTTTCCTAATCTCCGTTATTGATGCTAGTAGCGTGACATTGAGACTAGAAAACATACCGGTGGTGCGTGAGTTTCCAGATGTATTTTCAGAAGATTTTCCAAGTTTACCTTCGGATAGGGAGGTTGAATTTGCTATTGACATTGTTTCTGGCATCGGACCTATTTCCAAATCACCATACCATATGGCTCCTGCAGAATTGAAGGAGTTAAAGATTCAGTTGGAGGAACTTCTTGAGAAAGGGTTTATACACCCTAGTGTGTTACCTTGGGGAGCTCCAGTGTTGTTTGTTAAGAAGAAGGATGGGAGCATGAGGTTATGCATTGATTACCGGGAACTGAATAAGGTGATTGTGAAGAACCGGTATTCTCTTTCTAGAATTGATGACTTGTTTGACCAGCTCAATGGTGCCCAAGTATTTTGTAAGATTGATCTTCGATTTGGTTACCACTAGTTGAAGATTAAACCTGGTGATGTGCCGAAGACTGCCTTTCGCACCTGTTATGGTCATTATGAATTCCTGGTTATGCCTTTTGGCTTAACAAATGCCCTTGTCAGATTTATAAACTTGATGAATTGGGTATTTAGTCAGTACCTAGATAAGTTTGTGGTTGTCTTTATTGACGACATTTTGGTCTATTCTTCTAGCCATGCTCTTCATGAAAAGCACTTAAGGACAGTCCTCGAAACATTGAGAAGTGAGAGGTTGTTTGCTAAATTTAAGAAGTGTGAATTTTGGCTAGACAATGTTGCATTCCTAGGTCATGTTGTGACTAAAGATGGAATTTCTGTTGACCCTCAGAAAATTGAGGCCGTGGTGAATTGGAAAAGGCCAAATAGTGTCACAGAAATCCGGCGTTTTCTGGGATTGGCTGGTTATTACCGTCGATTTGTGGGGGATTTCTCCAGAATTGCTCAGCCAATGACTCGTCTGATCAGGAAAGATGCTAAGTTTGAGTGGATTCCAGAGTGTGAGGAGAGCTTTTTGACCCTGAAGGAGAAGTTGGTCACTGCTCCTGTACTCGCACTTCCAATTAATGGGGAAAGATTCACTATATATAGTGATGCCTCTAAAAAGGGTTTGGGATGTGTCTTGATGCAGAAGGATAGGGTTATTGTATATGCCTTTCAGCAGTTAAAGTCTTATGAAGAAAATTACCCTACCCATGATCTGGAGTTGGCAGCTGTAATATTTGCACTCAAGATCTGAAGGCATTATCTGTATGGTGAGACTTGTGAAATTTTCACCAATCACAAGAGTCTTAAGTATATTTTCACTCAAAATGAGCTTAATATGAGACAGAGGCGATGGCTTGAACTTTTAAAGGACTATGACTTGACCATTAGCTACCATTCGAGCAAAGCTAACAAAGTAGCAGATGCATTGAGTAGGAAGTCCTTTGGCACTGCCTTTAGCATCCTTGCCACTTAGAAGGAGTTACTTGAGGATCTTGTGAAATTGAATGTGGAGTTGAGAGTGGACAGTACTACGGCTTATCTAGTTGCTCCCAGTGCACAACCAACATTAATATATAGAATTAAACTTGCCCAGTAGAAAGATCCTTTCTTGTAGAGGATGAAGGAAAAAGTAAGAGCTGGGGAACCCCACATGCAAGAATTTAGAATTTCTGAAGATGAGACTGTGGTTTGGTGATAGGCTGTGTGTACCAAGAGATCATGCTTTAAGGCGTGAAATTATGGGAGATGCCCATTATACTAACTATACAATTCACCCAGGTAGCACCAAGGTGTATCGTGATTTGCGTAGTACATTTTGATGACGGAACATGAAGAGGGAGATAGCTAGATTTGTCTCACAATGCCTGACTTGCCAAAAAGTCAAGGTCGAACACCAGAGACTTCCTGGGAAATTGCAGCCTTTACCTATTCCCCAGTGGAAGTGGGAGAACATCACCATGGACTTTGTGACCGGCTTACCATGAACCTTGAAAGGTAATGATTCTATTTGGGTCATCGTTGATCGATAGACCAAATCAGCTCACTTCTTACCTTACCAGACTAGCACCTCCATTGAGAAACTTGCCAATATGTACATGAATGAGATAGTCAAGCTGCATGGAGTCCCTGTGTTTATTGTGTCAGATAAAGATACCAGATTTTTATCTCATTTCTGGATAAGCTTGCAACAGGCACTTGGTATTCAATTAAATTTCAGCACGGCCTTCCATTCTCAAACTGACGGGCAGTCTGAGAGAGCTATTCAGATACTTGAGGACATGTTAAGGGCTTGTGTGCTAGATTGGAAGGGTTCGTGGGATCAACACTTATCCATGGCTGAGTTCTCATATAATAATAGTTATCAATCCAACATCCGTATGGCACCGTTTGAGGCTTTGTATTGTCGAAAGTGTAGATCACCTGTTTGTTGGATGGAGGTGGGCGAAAGAAGCATTTTAGGCCCAAAATTGGTGCAACAATCTTCTGAGATTGTGCAGTTGATCAAGGAACGCCTTCGTGTTGCACAAAGTAAGCAGAAAAGTTATGCGGATAGAAGGAGACGAGACCTTGAGTTTGAAGTTGGTGACCATGTATTTTTGAAGGTGTCACCCACTTGAGGTATCCTTAGGCTTGGCATCTGGGGAAAATTGAGTCCGAAGTATATTGGACCATATCCTATCTTGGAAAGGATTGGTGAGGTAGCTTATAGATTGGAGTTGTCTGGAAATTTAGCGAGTGTTCATGATCTGTTTCATGTGTCTTTACTTCGGAAGTATGTCCTCGACCCAAGTCACATCATTAATCCTAAACCAATTCAACTCCGGGAGGATCTCACTTATGATGAGCACCCGATCCGCATTCTGGATTCCAAGGAGAGGATAATGCGGAGAAGGATTATTCGTTTTGTTAAAGTCCTCTAGGATAATCATTTGGTGGAAGAAACTACTTGGGAGTTGAAATCCAAGATGAGGTAGGAACATCCGCACCTCTTCCAAGATTGAGGTATGAGTTTAGGGGACTAAACTCCATTTTAGAAGGAGTGGATGTAATATCCCAAAATTTCAAGAACAAATAAGTGTGAGTTAGGGACCTAATTGTGAGAAAATAATATTGTTTAGCTTAATTATCAAATTCTCAAACTTGAGGGGCTTAAAAAAGAGAAAGAATTAGGATAAGGATGGGCTGATTTTTTTTCTCTTCTTTTTCTTCCTCAGCCGCGTGTTTCTGCTCGTTTCCTTCTCCCCTACACCGAACCAGCCTTCAGCCAAGCCCAGCCCAGCCATCACCGCCTACTCCTCTTGAAAAATTGGTAAGATCTTGGTAAAATTCCCTTCCTTTTTCTTGTTAAACAACAAGATTTAAAGCTTAAAACTCTCCTTAAACCAAAATTTTTTCAGATCTGCTGTCTTCTTCCTCTGTTGCCGCCGGTTGCTGCTAGGGTGAACTTCGGTTTTCCTGGTAAAAATCAACCATGAAATCACCTCTTAAGCCTTGATTTGTGTTGGGTTCACTCTAATTGTTCTTATTCCTTT